TATGAGTAGTTAAGTCACATTGGGCTCCCGTATGAGTAGTTAAGTCACATTGGGCTCCCGTATGAGTAGATAAGTCACATTGGGCTCCCGTATGACTAGTTAAGTCACATTGGGCTCCCGTATGAGTAGATAAGTCACATTGGGCTCTCGTATGAGTAGTTAAGTCACATTGGGCTCCCGTATGAGTAGATAAGTCACATTGGGCTCCCGTATGAGTAGATAAGTCCCTGTCTATCTGTAACCAGTCTACGGCCAGCTCAGCTCCCATTTCTTTATTTTGGGGGCTATCATAGATCGCTGATCAATGTTTTTGTCTTGGACAAGCTTTTTGACCTTACTAAAAGGGTTCCAATATCTTCAGGAACTTCATGGTGTTGATGCTCTAAAGATCTTATCACGGTTGAGAATAAAATTGAAACAGAAATTGTTATATTTTCTAAAGCAAATTTCTAGAGATTCCAAAGATGGAGTCACCTCTCCTTCTCCGTTAGAGTAGAAATAGTTCATCTCCGCTACGTCCACCAGCTTCAGCAAATTACATGGCAGAGGAGCCCCGACGTGGCCTAGAAGATGATCGAGAAATACGGAATCTTGTAACACGGGATTGTATTCCATAATGATACATTATGACGTTCTTCCAGGGTCAGACCACCCAGGACTGGCAATGTAATATCATACCTGCAGTCCAATCTCCCGGCGTGGAGAACGAACACCCGGCTCCGCACTCTGTCTGTCCGTAGGCTTCAAATATCTGTGATTGGAAGGATTACATTGTATGTCAGATGTCTATAAAGTCTACCTACAGCTCAAACCTTCTTGGACAGATTAGGGAAGGGCTGGGACCCCTGTCATGTTCCATTGCTGTCTGTGTCCTGAACAGTCACCTGGGCTCAGGGCTCAGAATGAAGGTTACAATTCCAGATTGCCCGAAGGTTAAAATATATCTAACACCAAAACATTTTTTGTCTGTTTTGGAAAGATTAAGGACGGATGAGACCCCCCCGTAAGACTTTACTTATTTATTTTGCTGTGTGTTTTCCATTGGGGAGATTTCCAGTCACTTCCTGTTCTAGTAAAACAGCAGGAAGTGAGAGGAAATATTTCCATAGTGAGGGAAAGCCCCTCTTAGACAGTTGTCACCAGAATATATGTCCCCATTGGAAGATTTCCCCTTTCCTCCTGTCAGAGGTGTCCCTACACTTTTTGCAAA